GTATATGTGGAGGAAAGGGAGCCTGAGGAGAGAGGAGCAAGGAGAAGGACACGATGGTGTAAATGAAGAGGAAGTTGAAAATGTGGATGCATATGAAGAAGACGTTGGAAATGAAGATGAGGGAGACAGTGACATGGAGGAGGAGGAAGATGACAGTGATGATGGCCGTGCAGAGGATGTCGACAATGCTGCTGCGAATGAAGAGCGTGATGCTGCAAATGAAGTTGGCAATGAGGCTGCCAATGCAGCAAACGTCAATGATGTTGGAAGTCAAGTGGAAGAATACCGTGATGGTGCCGATAACTTTGGAAGAATCATAATGGAGCGCATACAGTGGCCTGTGCGGGACCTGCAGGAAGGATGCATGTGGACAAGAAGGCTGATGGAGCATTTTGCAATTTATTTTCGACGGGTCTTGTCCAACAGTTTCTATCCGGTACTGCAAGGAGCCATTGGGGTGGGCAGTGCCTTTGAAGGTTGGAGTCCTCGTGAGCAGGATGTTGTGTACCAGGTGCTCATACCCATGACACCTCCCCGAGGGCACAGCTTCCACCTAGAGCTGGGCACTGCAGGGCAGAGGCGCTTGAGGAACTTCCACATCCGCGTGCAGCAGGAGTGCACCTGCACGAGCGAGCGGCAGGGTGAGAACATGCTGTGCTTCCTGCACCACCCTGAGGAGGAGCTGAGGAGGCATCAGGATCCCAGCCTCCTTCATACCCTGTGCACGGGCTCCTACCTGGACGTGGGCAAAACTGCCCGCTGGTTCTACCAGCTGGTGAGAGCAATCTGGCCGGCTTTGCTTGAGTCACACCATTGGCATTTAGTGCTGCTGCCCCCCAGACGCTCCTGCCAGTTCAAGGTGACCAATGGCAGAGAAAGCTACCGGATCGAGATGCTGTTTGGGGTGCGGCAAGGCAACTCAGACGTCTTTGTAAGCAGCCAGCCTAGGCAAGCCCACACCTCCAGCATAATCTGGCCGGAGAGCTACGCTGTGGCCGAGATGAAGTTCTTCAGGTACATCGCCAGGCGGGCTCCCCCTGACAGCTTGCACCTGAAATGCCTGCAATTCTTCACTCGTCTTCAGCTGGGCTTAGGCTTCTCCACCTATACCATCAAGACCATTGTCATGCACCTCCTGAGCATCTTGCCCGTGTCACAGTGGCGCAGGAGACATTTTGTGAGGCGGCTGATGGATATCAGCGAGAGCCTGCGCGCGTGTGTGGAAATGAGACGCCTCAATCACTTCATTGTGGGCAACCAGAGGCTTCCTGAGGGGATCCACTTGCCCCCAGAGGTCCTAATGGCCAGGTCATGCAATCTCTTCCATCACCTGGTGATGGATCCGGTTGCCCACTCCCAGGCGATGAGCCAGTACGTGGATCTGCACCATTGGTTGAAACGGATCCTTAAAAATGAACAGTGAAAGAGGTTCTGCAGAGAGCTGTGCTTGTGAGGCTCACACCTGGTGGCAGAGAACCAGCTCTCACTAGACGGGCAAAGAAGGGAGAATGTGGGCTACAGAGAGGGAAGGGAAAATGCTGCGTAGGAGCACTATGCCAGCAGCAACCGCAGTGTGGTCTCAAGAGCCTCCCCAGCACTGCATCCAGTTTGGCTACAAAGATCAAGGAACACGCATGAGGAAATGCTATTATTCGCCCACCTCTTTCTTTGAGTCCCTTCTCCCTCTGAGAGCTTCACCTTGTGCAGGGACGCCGATCTCAGAATCCCAGATGAGGGAATGTTTGAAAGGACCACTGGTGGTATCATTTGGTTCAGGGGTGCTCCAGGCAGGTCTTCCCGCTCTACACTACAAAGGATTGCGTTCCGGTCAAGGCTCTTGACTCTTTCTGGGGAGATAGACTCCACAATCCCTGGGCAAGGTTTGGGATCAGTCAATGGACGGTGTTTTTCCTTGCTTCTGCATGGGAATCCTTCAGGTCAGCATTGTAGCAACTGTGTTGGAGCTGACGTGATCTTTTTTGAATATGTAAAGATCTAGGTTGTTAATTTGTGTATATATATACACCCCGTGTGTACATATTATATGCTAGAAAGCTTTTCAATTATCATATATAATAGTTAAATATAATAAAAGCCTCTAGAATATTTAAAATATTATCAATGGTATGAATTACGTAACGGTTATAACATGATAAGAAAGTATTCTAAAGAGTCAACCATGTAATTTTCTTTAAAGAAGGCAATATAGCCAATATTTAGTGTCACTCTAAGTTGTGATACATATTAATGCTCTCGGGGCATTTATATCTGGAAAGATTGTCATAAGTAGATATATTTATGCATAACACTTTTATCTTCTATATTGCAAATAAGAAATTATTTTATGTAGTAGTAAAGCCATAGATCGTGTCTCTGTCTTTTGGGGACACACAGTTATGCTCTATAGTTAGTGCTTTTGTGAGCAGCAACCTGGAAACTGCTTTGCTCTTGATTCAATAAACTACAATATTCCAGAGCCTGGATCATGCAAGACTTTATTGACCCCAACTAGACCTACAGTTACAGGTAAAAGTGACAAGTTGTGAATCTGGGCTTGTGAAGAGTCTCCTTGAAATTAGCCAAACTTGCAGTGCCGAATCGGTTCTAATCCGAAATGAAGTCCAGCTGCCCCCGGCCCCTGTGATCACAGAATGCCAGAAGGGCCTGCCTTGGAAGGGTCCTTAAAAATGGTCTTGTTGCAGCCCTGCTGCCAAGGGCAGAGACAGCTTCCCCTAGGCCCGGTTGTTTCAAGCCCCGCCCAGCCTGGCCTGGAACACTGCCAGGGATGGGGCAGCCACAGCTGCAGCGTGGGCAGCGTGGGCCGGGGCCTGAGCAGCCTGAGAGGCAAGAATTTCTTGTGCATCTCCAGCCCAAGCCTGCCCGCTGTCGCTGGGAAGGCACTGGGCCTGGTGCTGTCCCTGCAGGCCCTTGTCCCCAGCCCCTTCTCAGCTCTCTGCTGGGCCTGGTGCAGGGAGTGAAAGGCGGCAGGAAGTTGCCCCCAGAGAAGGCCTTGGAGAGCACTGGGGCCAGGAGTGTCACCATGAGGGCAGCAAGCAGGGCCTGTTCTGGCCACCGGGGGGGGGGGGAGGGCACAGGGCGGGCGCTGAGGCCCTGCCAGCTGGAGCTGGGAGCTCCGGCGTGCGGCTGGCAGAGAGCCGTGGGAGATCCGTGCAGCGGCAAGGACACGGGCTTCTAGATGTGTTAGAAAGCAGAGAAGAGCTGGAGAATGGGCGCCGAAGGAGTAGGGTGTCACCCTGTGGGGAAAAAACTTCACGATGCCAGAGGATAGTCCAGGGAGGACACAGAGGAGACCTGTCATTTTACTGGAATAAAGGGAGAGGCCAAGGGATATTTCCCCTTGGGGTGTCTCGATTTGTTGAGACCCAGGACAAGGGCGCGGCCTCCATTTTTATCCTTATTCCCAGGTGCATCACCCTCTTCCTTCCCCCACTGCCTGAGGTACTCGGAAGGTACAAGACTTCCCGAGTTGCCTACTGTGTGGAACCCCTCTGTCACTTTGATTGCAGAGGCAGGAATGGCACCATACACGCACACCATGGTTCATGCACAGCAACCAACTTTTATTGAGTGCTCTCTTCCTTTGCAGATCTGAATGTCTGCCTGGTCAGTCCATATCGGTTGAACCAGTTGCCACGCAGCCAAACGGGCAGTAGCTGCTGGTGTCCCCAGCGGTCCAGGCCCGCTCCCCAATGGTCCACACTGGTTAAGTTTTCTAATTAAAGTACCTATAGCATTACTTATGCTTCAGTTACAAAATAAGGATGAAATGAAACTGTGAGGCCTTCAGTTGAGCTGTTGGCCACCACAATACCCCTCTGTTTTATGCTCCCTCTGGTTTATATATTTGTAAGCCTGTAGAAGGCACAGGCATGAAAGGAGAGGTGCTGGGGTCACCCTCTATGTAAGGCAGGGTTCCACCTGTCTAGAGCTTAATGATGGTGCTGATGGGGTTGAGCAGTTTTGGGTAGGAATCAGGGGGAAGACCTACAACAGCAGCCTGTGACTCTTAGATGGCGGTTCATCACTGCAGTCTGTGTAGCTGTGCCTGTTTATGCACGGAAAGCCAGACCAATCTATCTGGAAGTGGTCACCCAAAAGACATCTTTCTAATGCAGAACAATTGTACTGGCACACCCTTTTGGGAGCAGGAAAAGGAGCGCTCTCCCAGAGGCCTGGTACACAAGTGGTTGTGGGGGGGGAAGCAGGAGGATGCTGTCGTGCTCATCCTTAAGAAAAGCAGCAAGGCTGAAACCAAAGCACAGCTTTTATAGAGTCAGAGATTTAACTGAAGCTCAGCATGGAGTCGAGGCTTAGACTCCATGATCCTCAAGGGTGCCTTCCAACATGGATATCTATGAGATTGCCAGTGGAGGGCAGCTGATCAGAAAGACAAGAGAAAGGCCAAGAGAGGTCCTTTGAAGAAGATTCACTCAAAGGCTGCCTTAACCAGTACCCCAGGGCCCCTCCAACGTTGTGAGCTGGGGTGGGGACAAAGCGTGCGGCTGGGCTGGCTGTGCTGTACTGTGACATCCATGACATCATGGGGCCATGTCACAAATGGGGGCAGCTATACAAGGCCCCAGCAGGTAACGCTGGCCCTGTATTGCTTGGGCAAGCGGTGAGTGCACACGTGGTGGGGAGGCTGGGCTGGGGACAAGGGCCGGGGCAGAAACGCTGCACGCGGGGCTGGCTTTTCCCCCTGCATCCAGGAACAGCCCCTCATGGCACAGCCTTGGGCAGGGCACCGTGCTGCTGCTGCTGCTGCTGCTGCTGCTGCTGCTGCTGCTCGGGCAGCGGAACGGGCCTGGCTGCTTGCCAGCTCTCTGGGGTCCTGTCCTTCCTGCTCCCAAATCCCTGGGATTCCCGTCCCAGCTGCCTCCCCCGTCCCTGCTGCCAGCTGCCTCCCTCTCAGCCCATCTCAAGGCCTTCTCGCCATCCTCCTGCAGTCCATGGATACCTGGGTATTGTGGCTCTTGCTCTTGCAAAGTGTAGTCCAGTACCCACAGCCCGTGGGTGACGGCTTGGACGAGGTGACACGTCTGCGAATGGAGGTGCGTGCCAAGCTCCAGGAAGAGGAGAAGATTCGTCTGGAGCGGGAGGTGGAGCAGCTGGTCCTGGTGAAGCAGGGTGCCTTGGCCTGGGGAGACCTGCTCTGCTCTGCCTGGCAGCACTGGCAGCTCTGGGCTCTTGCTGGGCTCCTGCTCCTTCTCTTGGCACAGTGGTATATGTGGAGGAAAGGGAGCCTGAGGAGAGAGGAGCAAGGAGAAGGACACGATGGTGTAAATGAAGAGGAAGTTGAAAATGTGGATGCATATGAAGAAGACGTTGGAAATGAAGATGAGGGAGACAGTGACATGGAGGAGGAGGAAGATGACAGTGATGATGGCCGTGCAGAGGATGTCGACAATGCTGCTGCGAATGAAGAGCGTGATGCTGCAAATGAAGTTGGCAATGAGGCTGCCAATGCAGCAAACGTCAATGATGTTGGAAGTCAAGTGGAAGAATACCGTGATGGTGCCGATAACTTTGGAAGAATCATAATGGAGCGCATACAGTGGCCTGTGCGGGACCTGCAGGAAGGATGCATGTGGACAAGAAGGCTGATGGAGCATTTTGCAATTTATTTTCGACGGGTCTTGTCCAACAGTTTCTATCCGGTACTGCAAGGAGCCATTGGGGTGGGCAGTGCCTTTGAAGGTTGGAGTCCTCGTGAGCAGGATGTTGTGTACCAGGTGCTCATACCCATGACACCTCCCCGAGGGCACAGCTTCCACCTAGAGCTGGGCACTGCAGGGCAGAGGCGCTTGAGGAACTTCCACATCCGCGTGCAGCAGGAGTGCACCTGCACGAGCGAGCGGCAGGGTGAGAACATGCTGTGCTTCCTGCACCACCCTGAGGAGGAGCTGAGGAGGCATCAGGATCCCAGCCTCCTTCATACCCTGTGCACGGGCTCCTACCTGGACGTGGGCAAAACTGCCCGCTGGTTCTACCAGCTGGTGAGAGCAATCTGGCCGGCTTTGCTTGAGTCACACCATTGGCATTTAGTGCTGCTGCCCCCCAGACGCTCCTGCCAGTTCAAGGTGACCAATGGCAGAGAAAGCTACCGGATCGAGATGCTGTTTGGGGTGCGGCAAGGCAACTCAGACGTCTTTGTAAGCAGCCAGCCTAGGCAAGCCCACACCTCCAGCATAATCTGGCCGGAGAGCTACGCTGTGGCCGAGATGAAGTTCTTCAGGTACATCGCCAGGCGGGCTCCCCCTGACAGCTTGCACCTGAAATGCCTGCAATTCTTCACTCGTCTTCAGCTGGGCTTAGGCTTCTCCACCTATACCATCAAGACCATTGTCATGCACCTCCTGAGCATCTTGCCCGTGTCACAGTGGCGCAGGAGACATTTTGTGAGGCGGCTGATGGATATCAGCGAGAGCCTGCGCGCGTGTGTGGAAATGAGACGCCTCAATCACTTCATTGTGGGCAACCAGAGGCTTCCTGAGGGGATCCACTTGCCCCCAGAGGTCCTAATGGCCAGGTCATGCAATCTCTTCCATCACCTGGTGATGGATCCGGTTGCCCACTCCCAGGCGATGAGCCAGTACGTGGATCTGCACCATTGGTTGAAACGGATCCTTAAAAATGAACAGTGAAAGAGGTTCTGCAGAGAGCTGTGCTTGTGAGGCTCACACCTGGTGGCAGAGAACCAGCTCTCACTAGACGGGCAAAGAAGGGAGAATGTGGGCTACAGAGAGGGAAGGGAAAATGCTGCGTAGGAGCACTATGCCAGCAGCAACCGCAGTGTGGTCTCAAGAGCCTCCCCAGCACTGCATCCAGTTTGGCTACAAAGATCAAGGAACACGCATGAGGAAATGCTATTATTCGCCCACCTCTTTCTTTGAGTCCCTTCTCCCTCTGAGAGCTTCACCTTGTGCAGGGACGCCGATCTCAGAATCCCAGATGAGGGAATGTTTGAAAGGACCACTGGTGGTATCATTTGGTTCAGGGGTGCTCCAGGCAGGTCTTCCCGCTCTACACTACAAAGGATTGCGTTCCGGTCAAGGCTCTTGACTCTTTCTGGGGAGATAGACTCCACAATCCCTGGGCAAGGTTTGGGATCAGTCAATGGACGGTGTTTTTCCTTGCTTCTGCATGGGAATCCTTCAGGTCAGCATTGTAGCAACTGTGTTGGAGCTGACGTGATCTTTTTTGAATATGTAAAGATCTAGGTTGTTAATTTGTGTATATATATACACCCCGTGTGTACATATTATATGCTAGAAAGCTTTTCAATTATCATATATAATAGTTAAATATAATAAAAGCCTCTAGAATATTTAAAATATTATCAATGGTATGAATTACGTAACGGTTATAACATGATAAGAAAGTATTCTAAAGAGTCAACCATGTAATTTTCTTTAAAGAAGGCAATATAGCCAATATTTAGTGTCACTCTAAGTTGTGATACATATTAATGCTCTCGGGGCATTTATATCTGGAAAGATTGTCATAAGTAGATATATTTATGCATAACACTTTTATCTTCTATATTGCAAATAAGAAATTATTTTATGTAGTAGTAAAGCCATAGATCGTGTCTCTGTCTTTTGGGGACACACAGTTATGCTCTATAGTTAGTGCTTTTGTGAGCAGCAACCTGGAAACTGCTTTGCTCTTGATTCAATAAACTACAATATTCCAGAGCCTGGATCATGCAAGACTTTATTGACCCCAACTAGACCTACAGTTACAGGTAAAAGTGACAAGTTGTGAATCTGGGCTTGTGAAGAGTCTCCTTGAAATTAGCCAAACTTGCAGTGCCGAATCGGTTCTAATCCGAAATGAAGTCCAGCTGCCCCCGGCCCCTGTGATCACAGAATGCCAGAAGGGCCTGCCTTGGAAGGGTCCTTAAAAATGGTCTTGTTGCAGCCCTGCTGCCAAGGGCAGAGACAGCTTCCCCTAGGCCCGGTTGTTTCAAGCCCCGCCCAGCCTGGCCTGGAACACTGCCAGGGATGGGGCAGCCACAGCTGCAGCGTGGGCAGCGTGGGCCGGGGCCTGAGCAGCCTGAGAGGCAAGAATTTCTTGTGCATCTCCAGCCCAAGCCTGCCCGCTGTCGCTGGGAAGGCACTGGGCCTGGTGCTGTCCCTGCAGGCCCTTGTCCCCAGCCCCTTCTCAGCTCTCTGCTGGGCCTGGTGCAGGGAGTGAAAGGCGGCAGGAAGTTGCCCCCAGAGAAGGCCTTGGAGAGCACTGGGGCCAGGAGTGTCACCATGAGGGCAGCAAGCAGGGCCTGTTCTGGCCACCGGGGGGGGGGGAGGGCACAGGGCGGGCGCTGAGGCCCTGCCAGCTGGAGCTGGGAGCTCCGGCGTGCGGCTGGCAGAGAGCCGTGGGAGATCCGTGCAGCGGCAAGGACACGGGCTTCTAGATGTGTTAGAAAGCAGAGAAGAGCTGGAGAATGGGCGCCGAAGGAGTAGGGTGTCACCCTGTGGGGAAAAAACTTCACGATGCCAGAGGATAGTCCAGGGAGGACACAGAGGAGACCTGTCATTTTACTGGAATAAAGGGAGAGGCCAAGGGATATTTCCCCTTGGGGTGTCTCGATTTGTTGAGACCCAGGACAAGGGCGCGGCCTCCATTTTTATCCTTATTCCCAGGTGCATCACCCTCTTCCTTCCCCCACTGCCTGAGGTACTCGGAAGGTACAAGACTTCCCGAGTTGCCTACTGTGTGGAACCCCTCTGTCACTTTGATTGCAGAGGCAGGAATGGCACCATACACGCACACCATGGTTCATGCACAGCAACCAACTTTTATTGAGTGCTCTCTTCCTTTGCAGATCTGAATGTCTGCCTGGTCAGTCCATATCGGTTGAACCAGTTGCCACGCAGCCAAACGGGCAGTAGCTGCTGGTGTCCCCAGCGGTCCAGGCCCGCTCCCCAATGGTCCACACTGGTTAAGTTTTCTAATTAAAGTACCTATAGCATTACTTATGCTTCAGTTACAAAATAAGGATGAAATGAAACTGTGAGGCCTTCAGTTGAGCTGTTGGCCACCACAATACCCCTCTGTTTTATGCTCCCTCTGGTTTATATATTTGTAAGCCTGTAGAAGGCACAGGCATGAAAGGAGAGGTGCTGGGGTCACCCTCTATGTAAGGCAGGGTTCCACCTGTCTAGAGCTTAATGATGGTGCTGATGGGGTTGAGCAGTTTTGGGTAGGAATCAGGGGGAAGACCTACAACAGCAGCCTGTGACTCTTAGATGGCGGTTCATCACTGCAGTCTGTGTAGCTGTGCCTGTTTATGCACGGAAAGCCAGACCAATCTATCTGGAAGTGGTCACCCAAAAGACATCTTTCTAATGCAGAACAATTGTACTGGCACACCCTTTTGGGAGCAGGAAAAGGAGCGCTCTCCCAGAGGCCTGGTACACAAGTGGTTGTGGGGGGGGAAGCAGGAGGATGCTGTCGTGCTCATCCTTAAGAAAAGCAGCAAAGCTGAAACCAAAATGCGCAGTTTATAACTGGTTGTCGGCAATACTGCCATTTTATAGCAAGTGTTGAAGGATATTCTTCTGTTTATGTGTGCTCATCAAATTGTTTATTCATATTCTTTCTAGGTTTTCCTGCTCCTTTGACTCTCCTATTGCACATTGCTTTTTATATCAATAATGCCAGGGCCATAAAGTACAAAAGAATGAAGCCATAAGCTAGTTTTATCAAATATGGCAAAGTAAACTGCTATATAACAGATAAATAAACTAACTATAATCCCTTGGAAATGAAAATACCGATTTACATGTTATCTAGTAGACACAGAAAGGGAAGTGTTCTTTATGAAAGTCTTCTGAAGGGAAACTTTCTTTGAAATGCTGGTTTTGGCCATTAAAGGAAAATTAATGTAAAATCATGTAAAGTTGCTTTATTTTTCCTTTTGCTCACGTCTACTTTCTCTTCTCTTTCACTTTCTTTCCCTGAAGAAAAAAAACCCCTTCCTTAGTGTCTGTTTCCTTCATGAGCCAGCTGTTTAATACAGAGAACTGAAGTATTTTCAATATTTTCATTTTCAGCCCCCTCTTTTCCATGAAAGAAGTACTGAGGAAAGTAAAATCTTTATTTTTAGAGGCAGTGAAATGCCTGGTCAAAAATCTTTCCTTAAGGGATTTTTTTGAGGGCCAGATAGGAATTTTTTGTCCAGTTTCATTGGTGAAAGGGCAATTTGGAGGGGACAATTTTATTTCTCAGCATCTCTCGATGGATCTGAAGATGGCAGCTATTTAGAGGGATCAGAAACATCAGTGATGTCTGAGGAAGGGGCTGGAAGGCTGCTGCTCATGGAAGGACTGATGCAGACAGGCAGCAAATGCACAACTGGGTTGATCTCAGTAAAAACACACAGTTGTTGCATGACAAAAGGTGCAGAATGGGGCTCCACACCTTGGATGACACAGGGAAAAATCCCAAAGAACATTTAGCTTCCACAAGGGATTGCAGAATCTCTTCTGTTGGGCCTCTTTACTACCAGAGGGACTCAAAGAGCTTCCCCCACCAGTCCAAATCCTACATGTGGAATGAGAGCCACCTCTTAATTACTGAGCAATATTCTCCTTTTCCTGAGGCATGCAGCAGCTCCTGGCAGAGCATGAGGCCAATTTTCCAGCCATGCTGTGGCAGCCACTGTGCCTCTCATCACCGCTCCCCTCTTCTATTACAAGTGTGTTCATTTACTCTCCTATCTACAAGCTTTATTTTCAGGATGGGAACGGCAAGGATCGAGAACTCCCTGGGAGTGTTTAACCACTGCCAAGCTCCCCATTGTCATCTCTATTTGTTTGGTAATTCCCCAGCACTTTACATCACAAATCCATTTTATTTTTTTTTTTTTTTCAGAGGCCCCTGAAGTGCTTCAGAAATCCCAGTTAGCTGATCTGCACAGTTTTTTTTCTGTGAGGTAGGTGTACACTGGTTTGGGCTGAGGTAGTTTTCTTCACAGTAGGTCATGCATGTTATGTCCATGTTAGGTTTTGGCAACCAATTGAAGAAGAAGGATTGTTGTATCTTCCTTTTCCTTTTATCCAAGTTACACTGAATTTCTAAGCTACCCAAATGAGAACACCTGCCTTCTACTCACTGAGCTTATTCCAGGGCTTTTCACTTCTGAAAGGGGTCCTGCTTAGAGGATTTCACCACAGAATAAAATGATACAACACACATTCCCCATCCATATCTTTCTATATATTATACCCTATGCTGGAAGAATTGAGTTGCTCTATGCTAGAGGTTTGCAGCAGAGGGGGCAGAGCCATTCCATGGAACAAACAGCACCAATGCTCTGTTTTTATTGGATATTTTATCAACATTTTCTTCTGCTTGGTTCCATTCCATTGCTTCAATGGTATTTCTGCTTTGCAGTTCTCCAGTTTATCTTTACTTTTACAGGCTTTTTAGTTCTTCTTGGGCCCAGCCCAGCACATTTAGCAAGCCTAACTTTTCTTCATGGATGTGCCCCTTTCCCCAAAACTTTGTTTCTGTGATTTCATGGATACTTCAAAGGCAACTTTGTACTTCGGTTGAGACATCTAAGAACTGGGAAGCTATATACAACACCTCTGCTCACAAAAGAGGAAATATTTAATTATACCACAGGGGCAAGAAT